CCTTCCTTTGCAGGCCTTTCTATCTTGCACCATGGGACCAGGTAAGTAATCTCACTCTCTTGTTTATCAATGTGAGCCAAATTTGGAATAAGGAACTGTTCTTGCCATTCTTTATCTTTGGCTAACGCTTTTCGGACTGCAGTTCGATGAGCAAAATTATCTACGAGAGAAAAGAATTAAGAAAAGTTTTAATTTAAAATCGTCAATATATTTTTCTCAATTTTATGCAAATCAACAAACGTTCATCCACACCACATACGGTCTCACTATGTGGATCAGACTTATATTGATTCTCCTATTTTCAGCCTCCCAAGTGCTAGGATTACATGTGCACCACCACACCCAGGCTGTCACAGTCTTGGCGTGCCATGGGGGTAGGGCCTGCACAGCACACTGAGGATCAAACCCCCAGTCCCTGTATCTGCCTAAGCAGGTGCTTTAATCCACTGAACTATCTGGCCGGCCCTGTGTTACAATTTTGGAAGAACCAACACAAAGAGATGTGATATTTGCTCTCAAACTGTTCACAGTCACAAGTGGAATAGAAATGTGAACTGAAATGTCCTTGAATGGGTTTCATAGGTTCGAAGACCTTGTAGGCAGTTCTGTCAATTAGGTAGGTGCAATGGTTGATATACCGTGTCAACTTCAGCAGTTTAAAAGATTCACTAAGACTCAGCAGCCAGACAGGATTCTTACTTTAAATGTCCTCATCCTCTGCTGGAGAAGTGTGTGGAGGTGCTGTGAGTGCTAACCCCGCCTTGGGGGGCATAGCCGGCCTACAACATGAGAAAGAGGCTTGCTTCGCCCCCTTTTGCTCTTGTTGCTTTTGCTGTCTTGTGCCACCTTGAACTGTTGTCCCTGTGCCATGTGCCACCCCGCCTTGGAGCCATCTGATTATGGACTGAAACCACCACAAACTGCGAGCGAAATAAACATTTTCTTTCTTAATTTGGGTGTTGGGTATTTTGTTCCAGAAAGAAAAAGAAGAAAACAACAACAACAACAACAACAACAAAAAACCAAGATAGATTATTGTACTTTTTTCAGTTTCTTATTCTGTGAAATGGAGCTAACACTACATAGACCTCCAGGTTTGCTGCAAAGATCAAATGAATTAATACATGAAGAGAGCATGGATGATTACAGTTAATATGCACTACATGTGAACTATTCTCCTTGTTCAACTGAGGCACCTAGTGCCAGTTAATAGACTGCTTGTCTTGCTGGTAACGGTGAAAGGCAGTCAAGTTGAGGTACACCTGGAGTACATTTTAACATAAATGAAACTGAATATGCTGTCTCTTCTTTGACAAATAGCTTCAATGGAATCATGCCAATGTTCTCACGTACTGTTACATTCCTTTCCCTAGCACTTTTTTTTTTCCTTGCAAGTTATTCTAAACTGTATATATAAATGTCTAGTCTTATGTACAAATAGGACTTCTTGAAACTACTGGTAATTTTATAAAGCCTACAATGGACTTTAGGAATAACATTTATCTTGCATGTTATGTGTGGTACATTAAAACCTCATGTTTTCTTAATGCATTATGAATGAATTTGTTCCACATTTAAAGCATAAGTTGGGCTTTTTTTTTTTTTTTTGGTGGAACTGGGGATTGAACTCAGTCCCTTGTGCTTTCCAGGCAAGTGCTTATTCTACTGAGCCATCTCCCTGGCCCTGGGCTTTTTTTTTTTTTTTTAGAAGAAGAATGCAGGGGCCGGGGAGATGGCTCAGTGGAATAAGCGCTTCCCTGGCAAGCACAAAGGCCTGAGTTCAATCACCGGTTCCGCAAAAATAAAAAAAATAAATAAATAAAAAAAAAGAATATAGAATGGTTAAAAAAAAAAATACCCACTACAAATTATATAGACTTTCACTAAATAAAATAGGAATTTGACAATGGTTGTTGTATTACATAATATTATCTTCAAATTAGTTGCTTAGATTGCTATATATAAACATGCAAAATTGGCAAACAAGAAAAAAAAAAAACTGGGGGCTGGTGAGATGGCTCAGTGGTCTAAAGCACCTACTTGGAACAAGCTTAGCAAAGCACAGGGACCGCAGTTCAATCCCCCAGCACCACATGCCAGCCCGCCCCGCCCCCTGGTGGGCTGAGCTGGCCACACACACACACATAAATAAATGTTAAAAAAAAAATTTAAAAAAACACAACTGAGTAGTTATTTTCAATAGTCCAGCAGAAATCAGCAGTCCAACTATCCATGCATGTGTACATAAGTATATCTTTTTCCCTTGTCTCTTTTTGTTCATCCCTGTTTTTCCTTCCCATTGAACATATATAAGTTGGGTTTAATGGGGTTTATTATAGTATAATTGGGAAACACCCTGCACTGCACACATTGTTAGGAATATAGAATTATTTTTTATAGTAAAGTACTTTATAAATATTAACTTGGATACTGATGAGCAAAAATTAAAGATTATTAAGAGTTCTTCAGATATCCTCAAGCACTGATATTATTAAATCTGGACAATGGAGTAACAGGTTCTGTGGCGTTTTGAAACTTGTTTCCTTTCTCAGGGACATGTCAGCTGCACTATGGGAAGAACTTTCTCGAATTCCTTTTGTTTTACCACTCTAGAAAAATATTAATTCCTGGGAGCAAACAAAGGCAGTCTCTAAGGGTAAGAATAGTATTAGGTCTCAGAGCTGAGTGAGGCTCAAAACTGTCAGGCCCTCTCAACTCACAGTACCTGAAGCTCCAAGCATTTGAATTAGGTCTGCTAGGACGCTGACGTCCAGCCCTTGTTTAGTTAGTAAGAAACCAAGGTTTGTGAATAAGAACTCGGTCATGGAGGCCCACGCCCATAACCCTCACACTCAGGAAGCTGAGACAGGAGGATGGAGTGTTGCAGGCCAGTCTGCGCCACACAGCGAGTTTGAGGCTCATCTGCACTGTGTAGTAAGGCTCTACCACCAAACAAAACAGTAAAACAGAGACAGTTTTTTTATTTTGTGATCTTAACCTAGTTGAGGCCTTATAAATAGCATTTTAAATTCTTCATAAACTATCTTTCCAGTAAACAACTTCCAGTAAAACATTTTTCTGAGACTTATCTAGTTCATCAAGTTAGGAGACCACTTGTTCCCTTTCAGAATAACTAAGAGTGTGCACAAAGTGTCCTTAGAGATGGGCGACTATGTAACAGATCCAAGCAGTCTCATGTAACAGGCGTCAGTACCAACACTGTACTGGATACTTAATTGGGATAGCTCATACCATACTTCCAAATATGAAACACTCTGTTCATTGTGCCTCCAAATTCTACAAGCCAGAATCCAACCAATTCAGAGTGAGCTGTCCGAAGATGAACATTTTTCTTAAAATTTTCCAGGAACTCATTCATTTTTGAGGGCTTAAGACAATAGGTACGAAATTCATACAGCGTTCCATCCTGTTGTCTGGGCCCTGTAGCAAAAGATGAGCACACCTGAGGAAAGACAAGGCAAATTTAAATCTGAGGGGGAAGACAGGCTTCACCCCGTTATAACCAAATCCCAGTGTGCCAACAACTGGCATGGAACGCATCTTGTTTGTTATTCTCCTGTCAGCTCTCCACAGAATTGTGTTTATGCAGAAATATCAATAAAAAACCCTACTCTTTAAGTTTACTGAATTCATAGCTACTGTTTCCTAACCTGAACCTTAGCCACTTTTACTGAGAATCTGTTCACACCAATGCACTTGAATTTTAATACTCCTAAACCTGAGCCCTGCATGCACTCAAAGCTATTAATCGATATTTTAGCCTTAGCCAATAATGTATGTCCTTAAATGATGCAACCAGAACTTTAATTCTGCACGCATATCTTGGCAGGCACGTTAAAAACGTATTTACTTGCAGAATTTTTTTTTTTAATTTGCAAAAAACCATCAATTATCATGTCAAAGTATTTCTTATTAAGTGAAATAAATCACCGGTCAAAAATAAGACTGCAGGGGCCGAGGATTTAGCTTACTGGCACAGTGCCTGCCTGGTAAGCATGAGACTTCGAACCTCAAATATGCCTCCTTCTAAAAAAAGGACGGCAATGCAATGAATTCAGCAGGGTACTGCCTGCTACCCAGCTGTACCGAGCAAGCCTGTGGCGGGCAGTATTTGAGCGCTTGGTTTAAAAACAGCAAGGCGGTTGATGGACCAGACTCCAGCTACCTATCTGACGGATCACGACTCCCGACCCAAATAAGCGGGGCAGAACCCGGGCTCGGCCAGCCCAGCTTCCACCCCGACCGCCGAGCTGCAGAGGCGAGCTCGCGAGGCCTAGCTGGCAACCAACGCGGAAAGCGCTCCCTCTCGGGCTTCCCATCCGCGACGCCCGCCCGCAGCCTCCACCTCACATAAGGCCTGCCCCGGAGCTCCCGGCTAGCACCAGAACCCGCGTCCGAGGAGAGTGGTGCGCACGCGTGGGAGCCTCGACCCCCCGAGGCTCGGGCGCGGCCCCGCGGCCGGTACCTGGGGCGCGCGCACCCGCGGGGCCAGAGCCCTGCTCAGGCGGCAGCGGGAGGCGAGCATGGCGCGCCCGGAGCGCGGCTGGCGGCGGCGGCGGCGGCGGCGGCGGTTCCTCTCCGTCCTCTTCCGGACCGCGAAGTCGGGAAGGACGCGGGGCGGGCGGGCGGCGCTTGCGCGGGGCGCTGAGGTCGCGGGGCGTGGCCGGGTGCCCTAGACGGCAGACGCCTGCCTTTTTTGTTCAGCCACGTCGCCCTCCCTGCAGGACCTTGCAGAGCTCGTATCAAAGATGTAGTTTAAATTTTACATGAGCCCAATTTAGTTTAAATTTTACATTCGGGCCTCATATGAGAAATTCAAAGAGTGAAATTTACTAGTTCTTTCAGCAGTGAAAATAAAACGTCACACCGCTGATACTGGTCTTATTCCAGAATAACCTCTTTTAACTTTTTTTTTTTTTTCTTTTTTTGCGGAACCAGGGACTGAACTCAGGCCCTTCCGCTTGCCAGGGAAGCGCTGATTCTACTGTACCATCTCCCTGGCCCTCTTTTAACATTTTTGAGCTGTTTCTCCTAATATTATTTTCATCCTTTTCCAGGCATTTTCTGGTATTTAATGGTTTTCCAGTCATGGATAGCATCTATTGACTAGTAGGATGAAAATTTCGATTTCACACTATCAGTGGTTTGAATAGGTTATTACAAAGTATGATAAGGAGCCGAACCCTAACCTGTAAGGTCTGCTGATCTTGCTGCTAGTGTGGAGAACTTTCTCCTGAATATCTGCTTTTTAGGGATACCTTCCATGTCCCTGGGTCTAACAATGTCTTTATTTTGGTGGAGAGGCTGCAGTAGTTGGCCCAGTACCCTGTTCTAAAGACAGTTCAGGAATTACCAGAGAACACCAATTAACAGGAACAACTTAGCTAGGCATGGTGGCACTCACTTGTAATCCCAGCACTTGGGAGGCTGAGGCAGAAGGATTGCTTCATGTTCCAGGCCAGCCTGGACTACAAAGTGAGTTCAAAGCTAGCCTGAACTGTATAGTGAAACCCTGTCTCAAAAAGACAATGCAAACAAACAAAAAGTCGCAACTCTTGGCCGCAGTAGTAAATCAGCAACAATAATAGTGGTCAAAGAAACCACATATTGTTGCTATATCCTCAGAAACAATAATGTACCACTCTTTAGCATAGAAAGGAGATCTATAAATATAGTATAGACACTTAAGATAAACCAAATACTGACTTATAGTAAATACACCTCTGAAATGAGGGTGACAGTATTGCTGAAGAAACAGGGTTGTTTATGAGAATAAAAATGAGTAAGTACTTAGACTTGGGACTGATACTATACCATAATATATGGCTTTTCTTTAAACTTCTAAAATACAAAAGATGCTATGCAAGATGCACCTATTGGGAAACTGACCTTTTTCTAAGTTAATATTTAACTCACATTGATAGGTAGATTAGAAAATAATTGTCACGCAGGGAAGACTTACTGCACTTTGCCTGCAAGTCAAATTTCTCCTGTTTTCAGCATCCCCAGCATCTGGGATTACAGATGTTGGGTCTCCTTGCCCAGCACAGTGCGCCTGGGGGTGGGGCTGGCGTGGGAGATGGAAAGATGGAACCTGGACCCTGCACTTGTCCAAGCAGGCACTTAGTCCGCTGACCTAGCTCACTCGCCCTGCAAGTCAATATTTAAATGCTAACTCAATTGATTAGAAGGTAAACTTACACACTATGAAGATTAAAGAAATACAAAGGGTCTGAGGAATGTCTTCCCTACAGATTATATAGGTAATGCAAAGAGCATGATTTTGGGGCATGCATCCTGCATATTAATTCTGATGCTGCTAATTATTAAGTATGTGGCCTTGGGCCGCCCAGGCTGGAAATGGATCACACATGTGAGGGGCAGAGCACGCCTGCAGGAGAACAAACAGCACCTGAGGCTGCTTCAGTCCTGAGCAACACCAAGCCAGAGACTATCCCAGCTATTAGTTACTAGGCAAGCCTGTGTCATGTGCCCCTTTTTCAAATGTATAAATACATGCTCCTACGGTGGTAAGCAGTTTCCTTTTCCACCGGCTGAGAAAAGAGAGGGTTCCATCTGACGTCAGCTTTTGTCTCTTATCTTTATTTTTTCCATCTGTCCTTTCCCCCAGGAACATCAAGCGCCAGGTGGGTATGTGGCAACTTGCTATTTCTAGTTCTTAGCTACCTTATTTGTTGATTGGCAAAAATACAACTACTATGTGTTTAATGATGGTGATGCATTCTGAGAAGTGCACTGTCAGCAGTTTTTACCCTCATGTGAACATCAGCGTGTACTCACATAATCTAACACATACTATCACTATGTAATATAAGCTTATGAGACCAGGATTGACCAAGATATCATCTGCCAGATGACTGTATCCACTGAGAGATAATTTTCTACTTTTCTACTTTGAAGTTCAGGGGCCAGGGACATAGCTGAGTAGGTAAGCGCTTGCCTGGCAAGCACAAGGCCCTGAGTTCAATCTCTGGTACCGCAAAAAAAAAAAAAAAAAATAAAAATAAAAAAAGAAAGAAAAGAAAAAAAACCCCAAAAGCTTAATTCAACATGTCTAAAACAGCATATCAATATCAAAATTACTGAAGTTCAGAATGCTAGAACCAAGGACATTATTTTGAATCTTAAAGTTTTGTGTTTATTGTTTTTTTTTTAGTATGTATCTGGTTGATACAGGGTCTTAATATACAGCTTGGACTTGTAGTGATCCTCCTGTTTTCAGCCTCCCCAGTGCCAGGATTACAGGCATGTGCCACCAAGTCCAGACTCTGGCTTGCTCCATGGGGGCAGGGCAGAGGCAGCGTGTGGTGCTGGGATTGAACTGCAGTCCCTGCGCTTTTGCCTAAGCAGGCACTTTAGTCCAATGAGCTATCTTGCTGGCCCTGAATATAAGTTTTTAAAGGATAAAAATTTCAGTTCTAAATGGAAAGACTTTGGTTTACTTATAAAATATATGGAAGTCTGTATATAGAACGTTGGAGCAATTTCAAGGATTTAGATAATTACGCTTTTTGGGTTGCTCATGGGAAATAATGGCTACTGTTGCCTCTGATGGTAGCAGCTGTTGTAGTTTTCTTTTTTTCCTGTTTTCCTGAGTGTGAGATTGCATGGGTCATCAGTTTTCAGCCCTCAGATTACAGATGAGAAAACTGAGGCTAGATGGGGAAATATTGTATGTGTGGTGTTCACTTATGGGAGACACAGAACTAGGACTCAGTATTTCTGGCTTCTCTGGGCAGAGAGGAACTGAGGTCCCAGCATGGTCTTAGTTTTTAGGGGGAAGAAAGGCACTACCAAACATTTTAAGTCACCATCATGTAAGATTATTCTTTATTCTCTGAAGTTCCTAGCTTCATGCCTCTGCTAGATGACCACAGTCTCTGGCTTCAAGCTGCCAGCTTCCAGAAATGCTTTGAGGGAAGACATTACATTTTCAGGCTCTACTGATTCCTAGCTTCAAACAATCTCTCAGTGGGCTCACTGCAAGGTCCTGTACTCCTCCTTCATATGCTGACTGATGTTGCAGGGTAAATGTCATCCTGACATTCTCCTTTTCTTGTCACCTGCCTGGTTATAGACTGTCCTGCCAGTTGAGTGTGTTTGCATCAATCTGGTGTTTGTCCATATTGTGCCACTCTTCTGCAACTACTCCATCCTGCAACTTAAGGCTTGGATGTACAGGAACAATATATGTCTTCTATGCTCCAGGGGAAAGGAGGATTTGCTGTGACTGAGGGAGGCTGTTCACTATGCTGAGAGCCAACAAAATGGACACAAGGATTAACAGTGGAATGCAGTGCATCTGTTTTATCAGGTGTGGCTCAAGCCCTTAAACAAGCTGTTCTTGCACTGAACAGCAGGGCTTTGAAATAATAACATGGTGCTCTTGGGAATTTTAGCCCCTTTCTCTCTCCCTTTATTTTATTTTATTTTTTTTCTTTTCAAAGTTTTATTGATAAACATATAGCAATGTCTCTCTCCCTTTTTTTGTGTGTATTTGGTACAGGGTCTACAGGGTCTCACTACACAGATTGGACTTGTAGTGATCCTCCTGTTTTCAGCCTTCCATGGGCTGGGATTACAGGCACTCGCCACCATGCCCAGTCTCAATTGCTGTCTCAGCATACCCTAGGGGCAAGGCCAGCATGGCATGCCGGGAATCAAACCCTGGCCACTGTGCTCTGCCTAAGCAGCCACTTTAGTCCGCTGAGCTATCTGGCAGCCCCTCTCCTTATACAGCTGTCATCCTTTAAAATCCTTCTTAAAGTCCCCATATTGATAAATTCAAATAAAACCTGTATGATTTCATTCAATTCAATGAAAACCTGTATGATTCCAACTGGTTTCTTTTGAGGGGTGACTTGTATCAGGAGATCATAAGTCAAGACCACGAGGAACTTGTAAGAGCATCCACCACTGGTACACTGTATTTGTCTTTCTAGGCTACAAAGAAGGAAGAGGCATTGCAGACTTTTCAGTATTGGTGAAGGGTGCCACTGATGCATGTTGCAAGCAGAATTAAAACACAGACTCCATTCTGACAACTCATGATGAATTTAAATTTTCAGTGTTTCAACCAGTGGTAACATTGACAGAAATTTGACTGGGATGATGCTAAAGGGTGCCTAACTTTGGCTCAGCCAATTGCCATAGCAGGGCCCTTTGTCTTAGTTTGACTTTTCTATTTTAGGTAAGGAATTTTAGCGATTCAACCTCAAAAGTGTTCATTTGATTATTCCGTACATAGAATAATAATATACAATGACTCTGAGTGGAGAATTTTGGAACTGGAAGGGACACTAGATATGATTTGTTGAGTCATGTCATAGTCATATTTTACTAGTAGAGAAAAGAAGCCCTGAGGGTGGCAAGGGTCAGTAATTCAGAGCTCTAATTTGAGGCAGTATCCGGGAGTCTTTGCAAACCTAGCTTGTCATATACTAAGCACTCCACTTTAGTTCACTCTGGTTGCCATATTAGCAAAATGCTAGAGACCAGGCATCTTATAAACAATGAACATCTATTTCTTATACTTCTGAAGGCTGTGAATTTAAGACCAAGACACCGGC